GTCTCATAGTGGGGCTGGCCATGTGGTCCTCTCTGTGGACTGGCTGCTCTAATTGGGATCATTGTCCTCATGGCCTGATGGGCCAAGATATGCTCCACTCTCTCCTCCTCCCTGTAGGTCAGTTTTTCTGTAGAACAAAGCACTCTATAGATTTGTCTGTTAAATAAGTCCTCCTATTTCCTGTCAATTGGGATTTTTCTTGCAGGAGTGGTTAGATTCTGTTCAGCCCTTTAATAAAATGGATAAATAGAGAGTACTTTGGGCTTCTCTGGGGGCCAGAATGGTAGTCCACGGTTTCCTTTCATATGTAGAGAGCTTTCCTCGGACCCTGAAGACTGCATGAGACAGTGCACAGGATTGCAAGCCTCTTTCCAAACAAACTTGAGTAGGCCTTTCATTCTCTCTGTGAACAGGAAGCACGGGCTCTCACTAGCTCTGAGATGGTTTTCCTTGTCTCCACAGTGTTCTCCTGAACTGGGATCCCACCACCACGGCACCTCCGATGCCTGACCCTGCTTGGCACATGCTGGAGCAAACAGCCTCAGAAGAAAACATGCCTCAGGCTGCTCTCTGTCCTCCAAGGACAAGGAGGCTCAACCAAAATGACCTCTGTTCCTCAGGCCAAGGCCGGCCATGCACAGCCAGGGAGGCCTGGGCCATGAAAGGGGCCTCGGCTCTGGGCATCTGCCTCACTGTGAGCCAGGGACTGGACAGAGTCGGGAAGCAGCCCCGCCGGAAGCCATCCCAAGACTCGGCTTCTCTGAGCCAACCAGTGAACAAGCTAAAGTCAAGGGATGAGCCTCTAGGCCTCCCACCTACCTCCCAGAGCAGAAGGGCAAAGGCACTAGCCGGGTCTGGCTGTGTGCAAACCCAGGGGCGAAAAGAAGTGGACCCTGTGACCCATAAGGCTGCCAAGGGAGCCAGCTGCGGTTCCTCCCATCCCCGCGGGCCCCAGCAGACATCTGGGCGTGGAAAGGCAGGCAGAATTTTCCGGGCAGAATCTAAACCAACATCTGCAAGCAGGGCATCAAAAAGGCAGCAGAGGGTGCTGGCAGCTAGGGTCAGAGACACTGCCAGGAAGTTTCCTCATTTACCTCACTCTTTAAAGAGGCATCACCGTGCAGGGGACCCAGACTCCACGGCACCCCCCACAGACTCCAGTCCTGTAGTGAGTAACGCAGGAGAAAATGACGATGAGCTCTCTGACACAAACAGCAATTACTCAGTGGACTCCCTGTCCTGTGTCGGTGCCCAAGCACCAGCAGAGCTGCTGAAGCCAGAGGATCCCCAGTGGGAGAAGCTGGGTCTCCCAGAGCCAGAGAAATCAGAGAGCGATGAGAGCCAACTATCTGAGGACTCGCTGACTGGGCAGGGGTACCAAACCCAAGAAGACAGTCTGAATGGCCAGCATCGTGCCACTGGCCATGGTTACCGCAGGACCAGAACAAGAGCCTCGGGGAGGAGCTTCATCGGACCCCCTCAGTGTGGACCACTTGCTCTGGTTCACAAGAGCTTCTCCTTGGATAGTCTGGCTGATGCTGAGGAAGAACTGGGAGAAGATCGGCAAGAAAGGCCTTTTCTTGGTTCACCCGAGGAGATGCCCACAGAGAGTTTTTGGCGCCTGCAGAGCCCTGGGATGTCCGTAGTAGACCAGGAGACAGCAAGCAGTTCTTTTTACCTCAAGCCTCCGTTCCAGCCCCCTTGTGGACAGTCTGAGCCAGCAGTGGAGGCATGCCACCCTGAAAAAGCCAGCTCTCTCCTAGGATTGCTGCCATCCAGAGGGAGCCCGCTGATGTCCATTGATTCCTGGTTCTCCTGTGACTCAAAGATCAACCCCAGTAGCCCCCCAAGAGCAGTGGGTTCTTTGTGTGTGAGTCCTGAGGTCCAGGAACATCAGCCCTGCAGGTGGGAAAAGTCTGGGTACAGGCTCAGTGTGAAAGAACTGGACCCATCCGATGTCGACGCAGTCTTGCCATGCAGCTTCACACTGCTCCCCTGCGACGCGAGAAATGAATGCATAGCCCCCACTTCTGAGCCACCGCTCTGGAGGACTGGTGGCCACCTGCAGTCGGGAGCTGATGGAGCAACATCTCAGGGGCGCAGTCTTCCTGACACAGCCCAGCAGGCCACCTCGGAAGCGTCCAATAGCTCTAGTGTGTCCAACATGCTGGCTGCCTCTGCTGCCTCCCTCACACACGTAGGAAGTGCCTGTGAAAGGGACTGGGCTGCTCTCCAGCAAAAGTACCTCCTCGAACTGTCTTACCCTGTTCTGGATGCCGCAGAAGAGCCCAGGCCGGCTTTCCCCCGCCTTGAAGAAGACTCTGCTTCTCTGGCCCAGCCCGTTGGCCCTGGGCTGCTTTCTAACAACTTCTCCACCCACCTAGCCAAAAGGACACGTTTGCGAGCAGAAAAAGAACAGGACCGTTTGAGTGCCAGGTTGGAAGTTGCTTCAGATTTCTTTAGGCCTCGTGAGGAAGAGGTACGCTACAACAAAACTTCGTCAGCAGAGTTTGAGTCGCCGGCGTCCGGAGCACACATCTGTGCGGCAGAGAACCAGGTCCCAGATTTGATGATAGAATCGTGCAGAGTCAGAGCGAGCAGTCTGGGCACGTCCTCTCAGGGGAGCAGGAAGCCGGGATTGACGGCCTCTTCTGATGAGAGTTTCTTCCTGGGGGACCCTTGTCACAGTGATGGCACCACGGCCAACAAAGGCCATTGGCCCCATGGCTGGGTGCCCCTCGGGAAGAACATTGCAGGCCAGCCAGGGCTACCAAGGTCCAAAGGCCACTGCCCGCTCCAGGAAGAGAAGGCAGATTGCCAGGCAATCGCCAAAGACCCAACCTTTTCCTTTTCCTGTAGCTCTTCCTTTCCATCCGATCCAGAGCTGAACCTGCACTCTGCTCCCTGGGACCCGTTTCTGTCTTCCCTGCAGCCACCTCCCCTAGAAACATTCTATGAAGCCAGAAGCAGGGATGCCCTGACGGAAACCGCCTTGGAGATCCCAGCCTACAGGAAAGCTGGGGTACCTTATCCACCCCCCAGGGAAGCTTGGGGCGCCGGACAAGAGCCCCGGGCCCTCCACGAGGCTTGTTTGGGGAATGACGTGCCAGGGCCCTCACCAAACCAAAGCCCTGAGTTTGCCTCACCTCAGCCGGCCACATCAGAGAGGCCAGCCGATGGGAGAGCCAGGGAAGCCCCAGGAGAAGTGGGGGAATGTCTGGGAAATGGTGGGAAAGGAAGCCATGGTTCGGGTTCTTTTTCTGGTCCTCCAAACAGACCACCTTTCTCTCCCGCCGCCACGGAAGCATGTGGATTTGACCATCAAGTTGGAATTTTAAACAAAAAGGACAACCTCCTAGCACTCATGGGGGGAGAAAAGGCCCCTACTCAGTCTGGTCTCAGTGTTTCCTCAAGCAGCTCTGTTCCTGGGCAGCCCCTCTGTGTTTGTGACGCGGGACAGGGCCAGGATGGAGTCCTAAGGCCAAACCAGCCCCCCGAGCTGGACAGACAGTGTCCTCCAGGGGCCAGGCCTGCGTTTATCTGTGAAGCCGACAATTTAGGCCTTGAAAAGAACATGCTAGGAGAAACTACCCTTTCTTTGAAGTCTAGATCAGTAGGTCACAGTGCTAGCAGCCCAGGGATTGTTGTGGGCCAGGAGCAGGACCCCACCCCCAAGTGGGAAGGGAAGAGCAACACTGGGCTTCCCGGGAAAGCGCTTCCTCCTGCGGACAGCTTGGATGAGCTTACACTTCCAGGGCCAGAGTCTTCCCATGAAAGGCTGCCGGGAGTCCCATCCTCTCAAGAGAGAAGCCTCAGTGAGTGCAAGCGGCCTGGGAAATCCCAAGAGAGGACACCAGATGAAGCTGCTGGGCTGAAACAGAGCAAAAGGGTCACTAATGATGAGGAGATGGCGAGGCTGATCCGGAGCGTGGTGCAACTAGAACACAGCATCTTGGAAATCGGGTCCAAGCAGAATGTGCCGCTGCACGCTTCCCACACACGGAGGGCCCGCAAGGAGGTGGCAATTCAAGACCTGGAGAAGGCTGACCAGGTTCTGAGGCCGGGTAGCCCTGGAGACCACTTGTCCTTCAAGTATCAGTCACCTTTCACAGGACAACTTGCTGATGTGATCGTGAGGGATTGTGGAGTCAGAGAAAGGAAAGGCCTTAGCGGTTGCATTGGGAGAGATGCCCAGGTACAAAGCCCGTTCGAGACATGGGAGTGTACAGAAGAGATTCCATTTGTCAGAGAGCCCCTTGACCTAGCTGCACTGGAGAGCTCTGCCAGGGACACTTGGGGTTATTTTGGGACGTGTTCAGCTCCCGGAGAGCCCCCCAAGGCTTCCATTCACATCAGGAGAATGAGAGCATTGACCAGAGAGCGGCCATTGCTGCCCAGACCTGAGAGCTCTTCCGAAAATGAGGATTTATTCAGCCCAGCGGCTAGCCCCCGAGGGCAACCTTATGCTTTGGTGGGTCTTGGGGAAGTGGAGACTATGGAAGGTTTCCAGAAAATCCAAGTTGCGGAACACATAAGCAATTCCAAGCAAGCAGAGCTGGAAACTCAAGGCCGAGTGGAGGAAATGGCAACGCAAATGGGAGGGAGCTGGCAGGAGGAGCAGGAAATGGCCCCTCAGAGGCCCCCCAGGCCACACTTACTTTGTAGGAGCAGATCTTTCAGCCTGGAGGCTGACAGCCCGAGGCTGAGCCAGACAGTGGCCTACTACCAAGAGCTGACGAGCTCCTTGCCCCCGACTCCGGGGTGGCCAAGGAGCTCTTTTTATGCCCCCCACAGCGCGAGCATCTTCTCCGTTGACTGCGTGCTTGACAGCACAGTGTTTAAAACCCATGACAGCCCCTTGGTCACTGGAGTCGGGCGTCTGCCGCAGAGTGGAGACCCCAGGAGCCACAGCGCTCGGGACTGCAGTAGAGGGACGGCCTCCGTGGCCCACACTGCCGGGGGTGGGTCTGCAGGCTCCACGGTGGCGAGGGGAGCTCACGGTCCATCTGGTGCCCCGGATAGCATTTGCCTTAAGGAAGAGGACAGGGCATCAGCGAGCGCCACCCCCAGAGGCCAGGGGTGGGGCCTCCGAAGCACCATGGTGGACTGGAGTACCAGCGAGGGTTTAGCTCTCCAAACAGAGGCTGCTGCACAAAAAGAAAGAGCGAGTGCCCTAAAGTGGATCGCTAGCCAGCTTGACGAGAGAGTCAGCGGTCTCTTAGAACAGGGTGACTTCCGAGACAGGGAGGCAAGGCAGAAGGCAGGGAATGATGACGCAGACCTCGGCTTTCCCACTGCCGCCTTCTCGGCTCCTGCTTCCCTGACAGAGCTTCCCAGTGCAGAGCCCAGGAGGCAAGGCCCCTCCGTCCACGCTTCCTTGTGTCTGGCTCTGCTGGAGGAGGTCAGACAGGCAAAGGCCCAGGGGAAAAAATTCAGTGACTCTGTGGCTAGGAGGACAATCGTTCCTTATGGTGACACTTTGCCAGAGCCTGAATGCCCTTCAAGGATCCCTGGGCGACCTCCATATAAACGGGTGGACCAGTCCGAGTCAGACAGACCCAGAGACGAAGGGGGAGCCCTGGGACTGGGTGTGGAACCGCTGTCTGATGGATCAGGACATTTGTTGGCTGACAAGAGGAAAGTCCTTGAGACCACACCCCTCTCTGTAGAGAGCTTCCAACTTCAGCCCCACTCAGAAAGTCACCGAAGCACCCAGCCTCCCTCTCAGGCTTCCTCTCCTGCTGCTCCTGCTCTGGGCAGAAGCCATTGCCCTGGAGAGCTGAGGCATCTTCCAGGAGAGGCAGAACAGCTGAGATGTCACACTAGTTTTTCGGGAGTCCCGGAGGAAACAAAAGAAGCAACCGGCACAATGTCCTCTCCTGCTCCTTTGGGCTCAGACTGTCTTATTTCTTCTTTGGCTGTGCAGGAGGACAGGAGGGTAGAACCAGAGAAAATGGTACCCACCTTATCTTCTCGGTCCCCCTCTAGCTGTTCTGAAGTGATTCGATGTCACATCACAGATGGCACTCTCCCCGGCTGCCAGGAGAGCTGCCCAGAGCACCTGGAACCTGCCACTCAAGATACCACATGTGTAGGAAGTTCAGGGCACTTCTCAGTATCTAAACAGGAAGGAAAGCCAAGCCAGTGTGTGCTCTGTGGTGGTCAAAGCTCTGCTAGACCCTCAGGACCTAAGCAAGACCATGTACAATGCCCCGGGGCTTCCATGGGCTTAGGGGAAGGGAGGGCAAGTCCCCAACAAGGTGCTCTCAGGTCTGGGGCTCTGAGGACGGTTGAACTTGAAGATGCCCCTCAGCTGTGTGAGAACTGGAAGCAGAATGCTGGACCTGGGCTGGCAGAAGCCTGTAGGGCAGGCAACCAGCATCTGGAGCCAAGTTTATGGCCAGATCAGAGACCTAGTCCAGGTTCTGGGGGCATTGGGGAGGAGACTCCATCCAGCTGCCCACAGGATGCTTTAGATTGCATGCTCTTGGGTACCACTGACAGCAGCAGGGCACTCAGCGCATCTTGGGGCCAAGAAGAGAGCCGAGCTCTTCCTCCCCTGCAGCTGTGCAGTCCTCAGCACGTTACCTGTCACACCTGTTCTCCTGGTTCCTCTACTTCACCGCATTCTGGAGATGGTTGCCTGGAGAAGAGGACTTCCAAGGCTGTCAGGCATGCTACCCATCTACCCTGCATCTTACCGTCCAGGGCCTGTGGCATGAATGAGGGAGGGCCAGGCCACTGTAGAGAATCTGGTATGTGCCTGCCACATACCCTCAAGCCCAAAGGCATGAATGTGGAGCTGAGGCAAGCAACTCCCATCTCTTCTCTGACTCAAGACTGCAGCTTTCCTTTGGCTGCAGATGTGAGGACAAGTCCCCTTGACCACTTGACTACTGATGGAAGCTCATGGTCAGCAGGGGATCCCGAGAGAACTTTTGTTGAGAAGAAGACTATTGCAGAGTTTGAGGATGCACCACCTCTAGGCATGTGCTCTGAACCACTCAGGAAGTTTCAAGACAGCTACACAGGTAGTCAGAACTTACAGCCATCTCAAACCAAGCCCCAGACACCTATAGCTCTTGAAAGACTTAATGCCCAGGGCTTAGGGGAAAGGCATATCGAGAATGAGCTTGTGATGCAACCACAGCATGGTTATCTAGAAAATACCATTAGCGATCTTCCAGAAAGGCCACAACTGTCCACTGAGCCCAGGAATGGCAGTGGCTTGAATTTGCAAATCAAGTTTGTAACAAGACTAAGACACTTCCAGAGTACTCAGGTTGATAGTCCCTGGGAGGAGGAAGAGCAGCAGAGAGACCAGGCTCCCAGTGATGGTGCAAGCCCTGCCCAGGGTGGGCACCATCCATCTTCCGATGATGCCAACTTGAACGGTCAGATCAGAGATGCCAGGTTGGAGCGGGAGACTGTGTCCAAGCCCGAGAAGTGGTCATTGGACTTGAAAGACTCGGCCACTATGTGTTTGGGGCAAAGTGGGCCACGGGCTCCTGTCCAGAGGCTGGACCAACCCTGCTCTGGCAGGGACCGATTGTCTTCCCATCATCGCAGTTCACTTCCTGTGATTGCAGTCTTCTCTGGCCCCAAACACTCCCCCAAGGCCCTCCCCAGACCGCTGTTCTCTGTGGTCGACTCTTCCTGGTCTCTGCAGAAGCTGAACTTGCGTATGGAGCCTCCTTCCCCCGCAGAGGAGGAGACACAGGGACCTCACAGATTCTGGAGCCCGCATCCCAAGGGCTGCTGCGCAGGAGAGTTGGCGGCAAGTAGCACTCTGGGAGGCGAGGCCTGCAGTCAGAGAGCCTTGGCTCATCTGGAAAGCAGGGCTGCTGACCACGGGCCACTGAAACCTCCCACCCTGCCTTACCCCACCTCTTCAGCTCTCTCATGCATGCCAACCCCAGATACCAAGACCTGCTGGATGCCTGGTGCCCGGGAGCAGGCCCAGAAAGAGAGGCCAGAGTGGCAGCTTTCTGAGGCAGACACATGGAGGCTGCACTTTGACTCCAGTGACATCAATCCCTACATTCTGCCCTGGCATCCAGAGGGGCCTGGCCAAATTGGCTGGAAGCAGTCTGTGTTTGGCAGTGCAGTCGATGTCTCCTGCAGCCAGACCCCCCAGGGCCTGACACCGTCACACGTGGCCCGCTGCTCCAGCCTCGGCGATGGTCTGGAAGACCAGAACTCTCCCTTCCACTCCCACCTCAGCACCTACGCCAATGCCCAGGACCTGCCAAGCACACGCAGCAGTACTGAGAACACCCGGGCTTCAAATGAAGCTTCAAAAGTTGAGGGCTTGGGGGAGCCCCACACCATGACAGGCTCTGAAGAAGCAGACCGAATATCGCAGCTCAAGGGCCCTCCTGATGAAGCAGGCCCCAAGAGCAAGTTCTCCTTGGCTGCAGGACGTGCCACAGGCCCGCTGGATGAAATTCTCCTGCTGTACCCATCGGCCGCTGATCATGCCGGGGGTCAGGCCAAGACTTCGGAGCAGGGCACGCAGACCCCAGACTCCCATGGGCTCCACTGGAGCTGCACTGACATCTCCTCTGCCACACCAGATGCCAGCACGTCGGTCTCACATCTCGCCTCGTGGGCCAGCATGCACAGCCTGTCTCTCCACCTCTCGCAGCTTCTGCACAATACGTCGGAGCTGCTGGGGAGTCTCTCCCAGCCCAGCGCAGCCAGGAAGGAGCAGCACACCGAGAAGGGCAGCCCCGGTGGGAGCCCACGGGTCCTCAGGATGGACAGCTGTACTCAGACCCCTGTGGACAAGGGCAGCCAGACTGACTTGTCCTCACCGCCTCTGCGGCTCCAGGCACCGGAGACCGATCCTCAGGAAGTCAGTGGGACCCTTGAAGAGCTGGCCCTGGGTGCCTTGACTGTGTCTCCAGTGGGGGGAGAGAGCCCACCGGCATCTGAGAAAGGAGAGGCAGAAGAAGCCACGTGGGAAATGGCAGAGTGCCCTGATCTTCAGCAAGAAAACATCCATTGCAGGCCCCAGAGGTCTTTAGTGCCTTTACCCCATTGGAAGTTTCAGAAAGATGCCCTGCAGCAGAAGCTGCCATCTGTGAGCCCCCAAGGCTCTGCCAGTGTGACCCTGCCACTTGCCTCCCAACCAGAGGTATCTTCTTGCCTGGTTGTCAGTAGCCCTTGCCTCAGCTCCTCTCCCTCTCCAGGGCTCAGTCCCAACACCGCGGAATCTATCGGGGAGCCTAGGATCCAGAAGAAGCCGGGCCTCATGAGGACCTTGGTGGTAGACAGGGCCTCCTCCCCAATCCTCACCCTCAGTGCCAGCTCCCAGGGCGTGTGTCTCCCTCCAGGCCGGTTGACGCACCCAGCCTTCTTAGATGAGCCTCGCCAAGGCCCTGGAAAGCTTGAGACTAGCCTAGAGCCTCCCCTTGACACCCCAGCACCTCCAGGTCATTGCTCCCAGCCCAGTGATGAGTTGGGTGGACCTCAGAGAGCTGAGGTTCTGCAAGAGGAGCGCAGTAGACCCTTAGAAAGGAACAACAGGTCAGCCCTGGACTTAAGCTTGCTAGGTAGCCCACAGCCTTGCCCGGAGCTCCCAGTTAGTGTCCTAGCGCAGCCAGCTGAGGAGATTCTGCCTAGGGCTGCCCAGACGGTGCCCACCCCGGTACCACGGAGCACACTGGCCTCTCCACCTCTGAGGAGCGAAGGCTGGAGGCTGGCCAAGAACTCTGTGCACGAGGACTTGGCTTCCCCACCGGAGTGTGGCCCACTGAGCAGCAGAAGGCCAAGGCAATGGCCGGGCAGCCCGGAGACGGAGGCTGCGAGCTCGCCACTGCTCGTGGAGCCCGCCCTGTGGGGGGACGGCAAGCACTGTAGCCCAGGGCTGGAGGCTGAGCTGACAGATAGCATGAGGCTCCGGGAGTCTGCCTCGGACCCCGTCGGGGCCTGCCAACCCGACGGGCCGCCGAGCCTTGGACCCCAGGTGTGCGGGGCCCCTGCGCCCTCGCACCTCAGCCTGCAGGAGCTCCCAGCGCACAACAAGTTCAGGGACTGGTGTGGGCTGCTTGATGGCGCTCCCGGGGGGCGGGCTGCCACCCAGGAGCCAGGGACCACCGCTGCTGTGGACTCTGGAGAGCAGGGGGAGAGGCCCCCGCAGCCGCCCGGATGGCCCCACCGGGAGCAGATCCCCCTGCAGGTGGGAGCCCAGAGCCGGCTCAGCGTGGAGCTCACGGAGGCGAAGCTGCACCGGGGCTTCGGGGAGGCGGACGCCCTGCTGCGGGCTCTGCACAGCAGGACTGGGGAGGCGCTGTCTGCCGACTGCCCCGCCTGCATAGCCTGCTCCGGCTGGGAGGCGGTCTCTGGCCGGTAAGGACCCCCCACCCCCACCCCCAAGTGGGAGGGCAGGGGTGGGCCAAGGGAAAGAAGCAGTCCGCCTTCCACTCCTGGCCCAGCGCCGGGGTCTTTCAGGCACTAGAAATGGATGTTTAGACAGAGAAGGGTGGTCGAAGCCAAGACTCCGTGAATCCATCACATTTTCGCCTCAGGCAAAAGAAAGCCATCCAAAGCCTCTGCCAAGAGCGGACCCCGAGCCTTCAGCATTTCCGCCGGACTCGGAGTCTGAGCCCCCAGAAGCAGCGGAGCCTCCTGCCCCACGTGGATTTCCCCACGCGGCACCTGGACTTGCCCAGCCGGCGCCGGGAGTACCTGCAGCAACTGAGAAAGGAGGTCGTGGAGACCACCAGGCAAGGGGGCACCCTGGACCCTGCGGGAGCCTGGTGCTGGGTGAGGGGCGGGGAGTGGAGGCTGCCCTGGAAGGAGGGCTTCTGGGAGCCCCTCTGATGTCTGCGGGGGATCCCGCACGGAAAGGGCTGAACTATGGCGCAGATGTGCTCTCCGAGCGAGCGAGCAGACCAGCGCCTCAGAATGGCCGCTTCTACCCGCACCCTCACCTGACCCTGTGGGTGAAGGGAAGCTAGGTCCTTTGAGGAAATGGTGTTGAGTTAAGCTGGGCAGGGCAGCACCAGAAGCCGCAGTATTAGAAGTATCCCCCACCCCCGTGATTCTTCTACCCCCCCACCCCCAGGAAATCGGAGGCTCTGCCCAGGTCTGCCGAGCCACCCTCTGACATCGAGCTGCTGCTGCGAGACTACCAGCGGGCCCGTGAGGAGGCCCAGGTGGAGATCGCCAGGGCCCGGGCGCGCCTGCGGGAGCAGACGGAGCAGGAGAAGCTGAGGATCCAGCAGCAGATCGTCTCCAAGCTGCTCAGGGTGGGGAAGAGCTGGGCTCAGGCTTTGGGCTTTGAGGGAGCTGATCCAGGTCCTGGGGCATAACATGGGCACCCTGATACCCGCTACAAACTCTGATTATCTTGTGCACCATCTAGGCCAGTGCCTGGGAGGAGAGGTGGCTTTGGATGTGGGGGTTATGAGAAGTAGGGAGAGGCTGGCTTTGGGGAAGGGTGGGGTGGTGGAGCTGAAGAGGGCAGCTGTGGCAGGCTGAATTGGGTGGCTTTGGGGCTAAGGGCTGCGGACATTGATGGTGCTTCTGTCAGAAGCTGGCTGATGGTATCCTTTAACTTCCCAGGAGGAGGAAAAGCTACACACCCTGGCCTCCTACAGCCCCTTGTGTACCAGCTCCAACGGGAGCCTGTCCTCTGGCATCACCTCTGGCTACAACAGCAACCCAGCCTTGTCCTGCCAGCTCCAGTCCCCAGACAGCCTGGTGAGTGGCCAGGGCCTGGCGAGCCTGGGCCATTGAAGCAGGGGCGCGTGGGCCGGACGCTCTGCCTCCTGGAGTCCCCTGCTGACAGCCCTCTCTGTGCTGCAGCCCACACTTCCTGTAGCTCCATCTCCTCCTCCAATGAGTCATTTCTTCCTCTGCTCCACATGAGGCCTGGCAGTGCCGAGGGCGAGCACACTCGCTTGTCCTTCTCCTGTTGTTGGTGTTGGAGCCTGTTGGGTCAAGGCCCCACCAGTGCAGAGCAGAGCTGCTCTATAAGGTTCAAGGTTGTGACTCTGAGGTGCCTCTGGATGGGTTGAAACTGCCAACCTTTTGACAAGTCATTGGGTACCTAACTTTGTCTCGCCCTGCAGGTATTAGAAGAGATCAATATCAAAGTTCATTTTATTATTATTTACCATTGCCATACATTCTTTGAAGAACGAATGCTAAATCCACAGAAAGCAAGGAGCTTGTCCACATGGTGTGTGTGTGTGTGTGTGTGTGTGTGTGTGTGTGTGTGTGTGTGCAGTCAGTACCTAAGTAAAAGGTTAGTGGTCGTGGTGGAGGGAGAACACTTCCAGGGAGAGGCCTTGACGAGGAGAGAGCCTGAGGAACGTAGGGAAGGCTAGGATGACTGCAGTGAGTAGTGTCATGGGTCAGGGCACGGGAAGTGCCTAGTGAAGGCCAGTCCGGCGACGTTGGTGAGCATTCTCCAATGTCAGCCCCTTGCTGCTAATCATCTGATCCCACTGCTCCCCAGAGGTGACAGGAAGTTGCCAAAGGCTTTGGAGCAGAGGAACGAAGTAATCAGGTGTCAAGAGGGAGGTGGGCGGCCCCCACGTGGTCAGGAGGAGTCCAGGAAGACCGCTCAGTTTGGTGAGTCCAGAAGGTGCAGATGAACAGGTGTGAGTGCAGGAGAGGGAGGGCCACTTGGATCTTTGGCTGGCTCACGTGACGAAGGGGGTGGCTGTGCCATCAATGAGAGAGACCAGGCGGGGGTGGGGTGGGGGTGTGGAAGGGCAGGAGTTGAGTTTGGGGCTTGTGTTGGAGGTGCCTTGAGAAACTGGCTGGACCTCTCAGGTAGGCACAGGAGATCAGAGCTGGCAGTGGAGCTCCAGAGGGCTGGGCTGGCTGGGGGGAAAAATGGCAATTCATAAAACTCATTGTGTTAGTCTGGGTGGACTAGAGAAACAAATTCATAGACACTCACGAGTGTAAGAGAACTTTGTATTAAAGAGCAATTGTACATTAAGAAAACATCCCAGCCCAGTCTAGATCAAGTCAATAAGTCCAATATTACCCCATATGTTGATACTAGTCCATAATTTCCTCTTTAGACTCACACAGCCATGCAATGATGTTGAATGCAGGAAGATCACAGGCCAGTGGGTGGAAAGTCTTGTGGATCCAGTGGCAGTGGAAGTATCTCAACACTGGCGTGGGTCTCTACATGGCTCCTGCAGCTCCAGGACTCTGGCTCCATCAGTGTAGATCCATGTGGCTTGTCAACAGGAATGTCTCGCAGAGAGACAAGCAGAGTGTGTATCTGGCTTCCAGTGAGCTATTTATCTCCATAGGGTCTCATAATGAGGCCATGAAGCTGCCACCTGATTGACAGGCTAAACTCCACCCCTTCACTCTTAATAGTCTCAAGTTGACACCAGATTACGTAACTACCACACTCATGGTGTAAAAACAAGCGATAGCCATTTTGACACATTTTAAAATAGTTTTTGCTTCTAGTAATTGTGTAATTCAGTCTGTATTTTCTTTCTTGAGCCAATTGTTTTTTGTTTTTAAATCATTTTATTGGGGGCTCATACAACTCTTATCACAATCCATATATACACCTCTTGTATGTCAAGCACATTTGTTCATTTGTTGCCATCATCATTATTCTTAAAACATTGCTTTCTACTTAAGCCCTTGGTCAGCTCCTAATTTCCCCCCCTCCCTCCCTGCTCTCTCTCCCTCATGAACCCTTGATAATTTATAACTTATTGTTATTTTGTCATATCTTACACTGTCCAATGTCTGCCTTCACCCACTTCCCTGTTGTCCGTCCCCCAGGGAGGAGGTTATATGTAGATCCTT